GTATTTATAATTAAAATAAAAAGTTGTGTTAATTTTTATTAGTTAATATGATATTATGTCATTTGTTGCCACCCAAAATTTTTCGATAATTTTATGGTAGCAATCAGTAGTTTTGATCATTCTAAAACACTTTTCTTCTATGGCATTTCTGTCACAAATTAAGTTCTGTATAAGTGAGATATTTTACATTTTAGTTGCTGGTTTGTTAACCAATCAGATCTTGGCATAGTCCATCTGTTAGGCTAGTATGGTTTAGATTAGGTTATATATTCTATACTGGTGCAATCAATACAGTATACTTATATACTAATGCAAATTAATTACATACACTGTACACTCTTGTCCTATATGTTCGTAAGAAATGTCAAATTTTCCCCTAAAATCAAAACTTTTTAATTTATAAATTTGTACCAAAAAATTTCAAACAATAGAATCAAATCTATATAACATTTTACATCCATCAAGCATAATTTCAACTTCCAAATGCTTGGTGGTAACAAGTGAAATTTTACCATTAATACTACATCATCCACAGAACAACTGTGGATAATATGAATCAAATATAAACACAGTACTCTGGTACTAAGGGACTCCACCACCACTACCCAATAATGGCTCAGTACAAGTTATGAAGGTGTTATTTGACTGTGCTGGCTGGCCAAATATCCAAAGGGTATTTGACCGTTAGCTGCAGAGATTGTCTATGATTTTAATGGGATTGTGGACAGGATGGCTGTGGGCATTATTACATTAGTCATTAATGCTTAATCATTATCTCCCTTGTGATACTCCAAGATGTCCCACTTCTCTTATGGACATATAATTGGGTTAGGTTAGATAAACATTTTTTAGTCTATACCTAAACTGTATCATAACTGTTAAACGTTGAGCTGTTGGTTAATAGATTTATAATTTATTCATGTTCTATCTTCCTTTACGTGTTCCTATCTCTACTGTGTTACAATAGTTTAAAGTTATCAATAAAATAATATGTAGTATATTCTGGGGCCACAAGAACCTTAGAACCTTCAAGATATTATATTATATTTATAATTTGTTAGTCAAATTGATACAGTAAAACCATTGCTAAATATATTGAATATTCATTATTGGCATACAATAATATGATATATAAGTGAGGGTAAAATAGTGCTATAAGCCGTGCCTATCCTGTTGCTCCTGCCAGCAGACCAACACACAGCAAGTCTCTTACCTTGTCCACAACTATTATAAGCCTCTCTCTCTTACACCACCATAATCCCTGCACACTTATCATTAATAGTAAAACACAAATGAGTCCTCACAACACAATATTACACCAATACAAACCAATTTTCTTCAGAATATTTTTCGATGCTGTGTTTGCATGGAGGAGGGCATGGCACACCACACCCTTCTTCCCAACCACACACACTTCCTCCTAACCACTCCCTCTTCCTCCCATCCACACCCTCTTCCTCCCATCCACATCCTCCCATCCACAAACACTACCTCCCATCCACACACCCAAAAGGTTGGGTGGATGGGAAGGGAGTTGGGTTGGAGGGGAGGTGGTGTAGGAGGAGGGTTGGGTGGGAGGGAGGGGGGGTGGGAGGGAGGGAGGGTAGGTGGGTGGGTGGGGGTGTTTGGGAGGGAGTGTTGGGTATAAGGAAAGGTGTGAGAGAGGGTGAGTGTATGGATGGGAGTGAGGGTGTGTGGGGGGGAGGTCCTCCCATACACACACCCTCACTCCCATCCATACACTCACCCTCTCACACACCCAACCTCCCACCTTTAATGTGTGTGGATGGGACTAAGGTTTTCTCATTTCTTTCAGATTGTGCGCCTCCGAGGTGAACGTGTGGCTGGTCGAGAACTCCTCCAAACAGGTAAAGTACTTATGACAATATATAATGTCTATATGCAAGTATTTATGAATGTTATGTTTTAAAGTTTTTTGTATTCCAGGTTTGTTTGTGTGGCTGACTGGACCTACAAGGTGCTTCTTGGAGGTAATAAAGGTAAAGTTTTTCAAGTTATAGTTGATAGCACTAACAGCACCGTAGTTAGACGTAGAATGCACAGTAGTAACTCCGCCTTGTTCAGTCGAACATGCCGGTCCCAAGCCCGGATAAAGGAGGAGGGCTACTGCAGTGTTGTATCTACCATTGCCACCTAACAAACTTACATTATAAATTGTTCTGAAAAAGGTAATATGTTCTGTCAGCAACAGAGAAAAAAATTACATATGTACTGTACATTGTGTACTATGTTTTTACATCTTTGTAGATAGGTAATACAAAATAAAGAATTGAATATACAGTATATTTTTTATTTTCATATGTATACACTACACATTTATTGCAATATACAATAACAGTCCAGAAGCTGATACAGAAATACAAAATATCCTTGGTCATATAGCCTGGTTTTATACCTGCACTGTCTAGGTACAGTATATATCAATTTACTGGCCATTCCTGCAGTCTTATGTTCTTAAACCTACATTACCAAATATTAGCACAGAAGAAAATCAGAAAACTTGTAATGATTGGCAACATCACTAGATATCTTTCTCCCGTGTCCCGTGAAATCACATTACAGTACCACTACCATTATTATTTCTCAGCAGATACATCAGTGATGGTGAGGCCGTCACATTACCAGCGGTTGTGGATTTCTCAATTCAACCTTTATATTGCAGACTCCACATAAGGTGAGTTTATTTCACTAGACCTTAAGGTTTTATAAAGTATCTTGTCAGGTTTTGGTCCTACACAAAATTTAGCTTTAGATAATAATGGAAGTCTTGTACTTTGTGAATAATTTTGGCCAGGCACAGTACAGATATATTTCTAAATTTACCCAAGTTACCAAGTCTTTAGGGGGCGGGGTGGGGGGAGGGGGGTTCATAAGTTGTTTATTACAATTTTACAAGATTTTTTCTTCTATATTTTCAGGTAAAACACTTCCATTCAGCAATTGGTGTGCAGTGTCCAGATTGTCAACATTTAGTAAGTAAAATTCTTACTGTACTTTACTTTCATTTACTGTATATATACAATACTTTCAAATTAATAGTATGTATGCAATCAAAAATGTTCCTTACGGTCATGGCCGATGAATTTCAAAATGAACACGAGACGTCCGTTCTCTCGGTAAGGTTGTCAAAATCCTTTATCCGAGGCGTCGGTGACTTAAATGCATTATTTGTGCCATCTGTGGGTATCTAGTAGTTTTGATTGCATGTACCCAATAGGGCATCACATGGGCATTAGTTTGTAACAGTTGTACGTACAATGAATGGCACTTTGATGTCAATTGGTGATAATTATATGTAATTAATGTATATATCATGTTCTAAGTTACCCAGAAGCCATCATGTGGGTGTATCGAAGTTGATCACTTTAGTTCATGTTTCAGGTATAGTTTACAGTTCTACTGTACTTGTGGTTTATTTAGATCATTATCATTCAACTTCGGAATATGAAACGTAAAGTTCATTCAATATTTATTTATTTATTTAGTTATACACAGACATTGTAGGAGTACAAACCATTACAAACACCTCCCAGTGCAAGTGCCTCTACCAGTGCAAGTGCCTCTACCAGTGCAAGTGCCTCCCCCGGTACAAGCCTCCCCCTTCAACGCCTCCCCCGGTACAAACGCCTCCCCCGGTACAAACGCCTCCCCCGGTACAAACGCCTCCCCCGGTACAAACGCCTCCCCCGGTACAAACGCCATCCCTCAACAAGCCACCAGAGGCCTTCCCACACTGAACAACAATTACATATTACACTTAATTTTACAAACCACTAAGAGAAATGGATCCGTGCGAGATATTCAAACCTCTCACAATCCGTTTGATTGATGTCCGTGTATCTCGTTGTACACCTTGCTGATACTTCACCTGTGGACGAAAAATATACAGTATTATAAAATGGAAATTTTTTTTGCAACCACAACAAAACTGTGACTACCACTGTAGTTAATAATGCTACTGTACATAATGTATCTTGCTATTTTTAATACTTTGTGTGGCTTTAATCAAGGTTCACTCCAACAGTTTTGAATGCATTAGTACAGTACTTTAAGTATTTTCTCAAGTTTCGCTAAATTATAACAAAAATATTTCCGTAATACTTAACTTTCACATTACACTATTCTTACAGTAGTGTACAGAACACCAATTCTGTTCTTTCTTAGTAAGGTGGTAGTCATCAAGGTGTGGGATGCTAGACAGTCGTGGTCACCTTGTTGTGTCTGGTCCATCTATCTTGTACACCAACCACCTGCAACATGATTATATTTGTTTTTAGATACTCTACATCTGAATTAATTAAGCTATTTTATAACACAACCAATACACAATATTGAGGTTAACTTGTACTGTATGTTCTTAAATGCACTATTTTAAGTAATATATCTAGTTTTGCTAAATTATATAAAAAAGGTTTCAGTAATACTTAACTTTTACATTACAGTACACTATTCTTAACAGTAGTGTACAGAACACCAATTCTGTTCTTTCTTAGTAAGGTGGTAGTCCTCAAGGTGTGGGATGCTAGACAGTCGTGGTCACCTTGTTGTGTCTGGTCCATCTATCTTGTACACCAACCACCTGCAACATGATCATATTTGTTTTTAGATACTCTACATCTGAATTAATTAAGCTATTTTATATCACAACCAATACACAATATTGAGGTTAACTTGTACTGTATGTTCTTAAATGCACTATTTTAAGTAATATATCAAGTTTTGCTAAATTATATAAAAAAGGTTTCAGTAATACTTAACTTTTACATTACAGTACACTATTCTTAACAGTAGTGTACAGAACACCAATTCTGTTCTTTCTTAGTAAGGTGGTAGTCCTCAAGGTGTGGGATGCTAGACAGTCGTGGTCACCTTGTTGTGTCTGGTCCATCTATCTTGTACACCAACCACCTGCAACATGATTATATTTGTTTTTAGATACTCTACATCTGAATTAATTAAGCTATTTTATATCACAACCAATACACAATATTGAGGTTAACTTGTACTGTATGTTCTTAAATGCACTATTTTAAGTAATATATCAAGTTTTGCTAAATTATATAAAAAAGGTTTCAGTAATACTTAACTTTTACATTACAGTACACTATTCTTAACAGTAGTGTACAGAACACCAATTCTGTTCTTTCTTAGTAAGGTGGTAGTCCTCAAGGTGTGGGATGCTAGACAGTCGTGGTCACCTTGTTGTGTCTGGTCCATCTATCTTGTACACCAACCACCTGCAACATGATTATATTTGTTTTTAGATACTCTACATCTGAATTAATTAAGCTATTTTATATCACAACCAATACACAATATTGAGGTTAACTTGTACTGTATGTTCTTAAATGCACTATTTTAAGTAATATATCAAGTTTTGCTAAATTATATAAAAAAGGTTTCAGTAATACTTAACTTTTACATTGCAGTACACTATTCTTACAGTAGTGTACAGAACACCAATTCTGTTCTTTCTTAGTAAGGTGGTAGTCCTCAAGGTGTGGGATGCTAGACAGCCGTGGTCACCTTGTTGTGTCTGATCCATCTATCTTGTACACCAACCACCTGCAACATGGTTTGGATTTAGATCAATCTTAATTAGCCTTAATGTATTACTACCAATACACAACATTTACTCCAGAATTTCTTGGAATCTAAACTTGCATTCTTATATATATGTGATATATCCATACACTCAAACACCCTCCTATATCACCTTACACAGGAGCATTGTCCTTCTCCCTTTTGGCTGCAGCAGTCTTCATCTAGGCATCATCCCCCACATGCCTTCATAGTACATGCTATTTTTTGCATCACATTTTTAACATGCACTCCATTCACCATTGCTTGAGCACACCACCATCCATGCATGAGCGCCCCCACTGTACGAGCGCCCGTCCACTATACGAGGCACCCACCCCCACTGTACGAGCGCCCGTCCACTATACGAGGCCCCCACCCCCACTGCACGAGGCCCCACCCCCATTGTACGAGCGCCCCTGCACTGTACGAGCGCCCCTCCACCGCCCAATGCTCCTCCTTTCCTACCCTTCACACAAAGTAAGTTCCTCCTCTCGAGTCTTACTTCCATTAGTTTTTGGGGATGGCCATACTAAGGTACATAAGTAATTTACCTAAGAAGGCTTAAGTAACATGCTGGGTGTTACATCTTGCTCAAGGTGTCGGTCACTTCCTCTACATTGGCATTCACGTACGTCAGCTGTCACCTGCAACATGTTTAAAGTTGTAATTTATGTACAATGAAGATTAAACATACAATTTCCATCTACCACCAGACTATATGTACTTATACTATCCCCAATTGTTTATTTAAATACCTTATCTACAAAAGATCTTATTTTAAGTTGCATTAGTGTTTTAGTTTTCTTGATACCTCAACAACTAACATTTAGCACAACAATAGTATAGCCAATCATAACAAGCCTTCATCACCAATACTGCTACACTACTAAATCTCTCCACACTGCTTCATACACAACAGTTTACCACTGTTCACTTACTGAATCCTCCCTCCCTTCCTCCCACCCCTCAAGCCCCCTTAGGTATTCCCCTTGACAACTTGGTCACATTTAGCTTGAATGAAAAACTTTACCAACACACCTGCTCACCCCATATGCCAACACACAAGCCATATTGTCCCCCCCCCACCCTAATTACAACAAGCCACACCCACACAATGTTTAATGATTTCACAAGTCCCACAAGCTTCCCTTGCCTAAATAAAACTCCGTAAGTTGACTTTACCTGTTCTGGCATTTTAAGTTATTTCTCCTTAGGTTCAGTATGATGTTACTTCTGGCCAGCTTAACCTGAGGAGAAAGTCAGTACAGTACACGATTAGATTTTGAAAAGGAAACTGCAAAGTACGCAAGCTATTGATTTTTAATAATTTAAACAAGTGAAATTTTTTCTAGCTTAACTTTCTGAATTCATGATCAGTTAACTTATCGCAAATTTTAAGTTACATTCTTTAATATATTTGTTATCCAATATATAAACTATATAATAGGTAACTTAATATTAATTTGGGTTAGTCTAGATTAGTTACATTTAATCTGTTAGGCTGATTAGGTTAGTTAATTTGTTAGTTAAAACCCACCTACTAACAACCAGCTTTACTTACTATTAATCACATTACTACTACTAATGCTCACTAATACTGTAACTAATTGGCATTTAGTCCTGTACATTTTTATAGCACTTTATTAAGCTTTCCCAAATCTCTACAGCTAATCTTAATTTGACTCCCAGCTCAGTTTATCTAGACAGTCCACACAGCTCTCCAGAGCCCATTGTAAAATTGCAGTTTCGTCGAATATGCCCTCGTAGTTTAGAAATTCGTTTATCCTGTGTATTTTGGGTCGATTCAATGAAATGTGGCCTTTATTTCCAGGGGAAAGCACCCTCTTTAGAATTATATCCCCCCCCCCAAAAAAAAAGCATGGAAATCTTTAAAACTCCTTTCTGACATTCTTTGCTCCCTGGTTAAAATGGTGTTAGAAATACTCCAATAAGGAGATCTAAAGGTTGGGGATGGTTAAAAGTCAGGCGTGTACTGGCCGAAACTGCAATAATACCGAGCCCTCCAACACACACACAGTCCTCCAACGCGCACACACACAGTCCTCCAACACACACACACAGTCCTCCAACACACACACACAGTCCTCCAACACACACACACAGTCCTCCAACACACACACACACAGTCCTCCAACACACACACACACACCCCACCCACCCCACACCCACAGTCCTCCAACACACACACACACACACAGTCCTCCAACACACACACACACACACACACACACACACACAGTCCTCCAACACACACACACCTGATCCTCCAACACACACACACACACACACACACACAGTCCTCCAACACACAGTCCTCAACACACACAGTCTCCAACACACACACAGTCCTCAACACACAGTCCTCCAACACACACACACACAGTCCTCCAACACACACACACACACAGTCCTCCAACACACACACACACACACAGTCCTCCAACACACACACACAGTCCTCCAAGCACACACACACACAGTCCTCCACACACACACACACAGTCCTCCCACACACACACACACACACACAGTCCTCCCACACACACACACCACCACACACAGTCCTCCCACACACACACACACACACACACAGTCCTCCCACACACACCACACACACACAGTCCTCCACACACACACACACACACACACAGTCCAACACACACACACACACAGTCTCCAACACACACACACACACACACACAGTCCTCCAAAACCACACACAAACACAATCCTCCAAAACCTCACACACACACACTCACACACACACACACACACACACACACACACACACTCACTCACACACACAGTCCTCCAGAGCTCTACAACACACACAGTTCTCCAGAGCCCTCCAACACACACACACAGTCCTCCAGAGCCCTCCAACATTCACAGTCAGCCAGGTCCCACACACACACCCTCCACTGCCCAGTGTAGGAGCACAGTGTTGAGTGGTTTATGGGCTGACCATAATAGCTAAGATAATATATAAGTAACTTAACTGATGAGGCTGAAGTAACATGCTGGGTGTTAAGTCTTGCTCAAGGTTCTGTCACTTCTCCATTGGCCTTCAAGTACACCAGCTGTCACCTGCAACATGCTTAAAGTTGTAATTTACGTAGAATGAAAATTAAACTTGCAACTTCCATCTACCACTACACCACGTGTACTCACTGTCCCCAACTGTTTACATAAACCATTACCTCCACACTAAAACTATAGCATTTTTAGATCTCATGGTGTTGTCCCGACCTCCGTAAAGTGTCATTAATGCAAGAACGAATGTAAGTGTCGTCAAGACCAACACATGTGGTAACTCCAGCGAGAACCAGGCCAATAAGGTACGAAATAAGGGATTCCAACATATGGCGAGAGTCGGTTAGATTAGGTCCGGTTTATGTTTTTATAGGGTTTTTTTTTTGCATTTTTCATTCGCCGAGCCAATATTTTTTTCGGGAAACACCTCACCAAAAAAATCTATAAAAAACGACAAATTTCCGACGGAAATGGAGGTCATAACCGATCTAAACACAAATACGCTAATATTATTTTGTTTTACTTTCTAATTGTTGTGTGCACATACAAATGGACCTTTTTACACCAGGAGACAACCAAGGAACCTCCAGGTTACGTTACGTTGTTAGGTTAGTTATGGTGCTTTTTGGTTGTTGACCAATGGGTTTTTCCGATTGTAAAATCCATGGTTGTCCACTTTTAAAAAATTACCAGGACCTTAATGTTACGGGATTTAATATATACTGTATTCTGAAACGTCTCGCCCTCTAGCCTAGCCCCGCCCCGCCCGGCTCACTACCTCACCTCATCTTGCCCGGCTCCCTGCCTCGCCTCGCCTCGCCTCGCCCCGCCCCAAGCCCGGCTCCCTACCTCACCTCACCTTGCCCGGCTCCCTACCTCACCTCGCCTCGCCCCTTCCCTCGCCTCGCCCCCTACCTCACCAAGCCCGGCTCCCTACCTCACCTCACCTTGCCCGGCTCCCTACACTCCTGCTCCGGGTTCTCCTCGCTCCGCCCCCCCCACCTCACTGCCTGGCTCCTTGACTCACCCCCTTCACCCTGCCTCCGCCTGGCTCCCCATCTGCCTCCCCGCCCGGCTCGTCTCCATCCCCGCCCTGCCCGCTCGGCTCCTCCCTCCCCTGCCCCCGCCTTACCCAGACTGGCTGGCTCCTCCCTCCTTCCCTCCCTCCTTCCTTCCTCCTCCCTGACTCCCCACCCTGCCTTGCTGCCCGGGTTCCTCACCTCACCTGCCCGGCTCTCTGCCCTCAATCTCTGCCCGGCTCCCTCCTCCCTTGCCCTCACCCCTGCCTGGCTCCTCCTCTTGCCTCACCCTGCCCGGCTCCCTCCTCCTCCTCCCTCCCGACTCCCACTCCCGCCTGGCCAAGTCTGGTTCCCCACCTCACCCCGTCTCCAGCCTCGCCCGCCTGGCTCCTCTGTCTCACCCCGCCCGGCTCCTCCTCCTCCTCCCTCACCCTGCCCGGCTGGCTCCTCCTTTCCCACGCCTCACCCTGCCTGGCTGGCTCTCCTCCCACGCCTCACCCTGCCTGGCTCCTTCCTCACTCCCCGCCCGGCCTGCTCCTCGGCCTCACACCCCTGCCTGCCTCCTCCTCGCCTCACCCCGCCCGGCTCCCTCGCCTCACCCCGCCCGGCTCCCTCCCTCCCTCGCCTCGCCCCGCCCGGCTAGAACCCGTAATAAATTGTTTCAACTCCCAGAAATCGTAGCTAAAGAGAAAGCAAAGAACTAGCCAGTAAAAATACATCTTGATTCCGCCAAAAATACTTCTATTTGTGTTAAATCTAGTGAATGCGGCGCAGTTGTCAATGGTGAATACAGTGGTGGTGATGAACTGCGCAGTTGTTGAGTTATGACCACCCGGCTCCCCCATAAGTGTGTTGGGCTTCGAAGCAAGAAATAAAAAATAAATAAAACGGTAATCTAACCCAATCTGGTCATTGTACTCGCTTACTGGTTAATTATTACCTAAATACTGATGAACGGTTTACGCTCGTTACTCACTACCGGCTCATAGTTTAGGCTCGTTTGTCATGACTCATTTGGCGGTATATTTGCCTAAAACATTAAGAAATTACTGGTTAGACGTTAGAGAGCCACTTAATATAATATTAATGTATTTGTTTAAGCTGCACAGTAGGTACCATGGGCCTTAGAGCCCAGTGAAACTTGGGGATACGACCCTATGAGGCAAGTGAACTGTAACAACCGGCCGGCAAGTTTTGGACTTAAATCAGCATTTATTACGCCATAATTAAGTAGGCCTATATTAAACACTACCCAAAAGAATAACCATTTCTCTTGGCCATTTTGACTGTAGGCAGTCGGGCAAAAAATTTACACGTATATAAAGGAGACTAGAGGAGCGGCGCTTACCTGCCTGTCAGCTGCAGTCAGTGAGTGGCGAGTGGTCGGTGAGGAAAGAGACGAAGGCGAGTTAGTCGAGGCCTTATATGTCAAGGTTCACAGTGACGTCACGAAGCTTCACTGAAGCATTTTTTTGCTTCATTGAAGCATTTGAAGCTTCGAACTTGTATATACGTTAAAATACGTAAAAACGTCAAATTTGTGGCCCGATTTCACTTTTCATTACCTTTAAGGGAATAATACAACGAAAACAGTGTCCCAGAAGGAAAAGAAAAGCAAAAACAAAGCAAAACGGCTCTGTGAGCGGCAGTTTTTGGAATAACTATTATATTTAATCACAGAAAACGGAGCAGATATTTAATCATAGAAAACGGAGGAGGAGTAACTATTATATTTAATCACAAAATGGAGGGGTAACTATTATATTTAATCACAAAATGGAGGGGTAACTATTATATTTAATCACAAAATGGAGGGGTAACTATTATATTTAATCACAAAATGGAGGGGTAACTATTATATTTAATCACAAAATGGAGGGGTAACTATTATATTTAATCACACATAACGGAGCAGGGGTAACTATTATATTTAATCAGTGTTCAGTCGCAGCCAATATATTAAATATTGACCTCATAGATAATTTTTCTATTCAACTTGTTTATATGTTGAGAGTCTCGGTCTGTCCTTCACTGCCGCCAACAGTAGTGAAGTAGTTGGGTTGGTTGGTGATACAGAGATGAACCATTAGCTCAGAGGTTAAGAGTACTGCTTACTGTTCATGGTGGTCATATACTCCTATTGGTATTATTTCTGGTTATGTGTGTATTCTTAGCCCTTATCAGCCGCTTTAACAAGAGTTTTATTGTGTATATAATGTGCTTTATTTATTAACAGCTTTTAGGAGAATTACAATATTGAAAACGATCGTATTTTTATTATTTATTAACAATGTCATTATTTTATGCTGTCAGTCCATTAATTTACACATGACGTCTCAAAAAGGTTAAACAGGGACAATTTCAACAGTTTATTGATCTTTATTGGGAATTTATCACATGTTCAGGAAAAATACATCATGGATACTAGAGTTGAGCACTTGGAGGCTTTATTAATACATTACACCATAAAACAAGAGAAACAATATTTGTAATACAATAAAGTACACATTAGGGTGTGAACTACACATACAAGATTATTATATAGTACATAATGTAATAGACCTAAGAGGGTGACACAAGATGTCTGGGGTCAGGTTGTATGAGGGTGATTAATCTAAAGTTTATTCACTGAAATTTTAATATTTAGAAAAACTTTTTCTTTTAACAAAAAACGAAGCTACTGTAGTTTGTGGTCTACAGAGCTGGAGCTACTGTAGTATGTGCTCTACAGAGCTGGAGCTACTGTGGTCTACAGAGCTGGTGCTACTGTGGTATGTGGTCTACAGAGCTGGAGCTACTGTAGTATGTGCTCTACAGAGCTGGAGCTACTGTGGTCTACAGAGCTGGTGCTACTGTGGTATGTGGTCTACAGAGCTGGTGCTACTGTGGTATGTGCTCTACAGAGCTGGAGCTACAGTGGTCTACAGAGCTGGTGCTACTGTAGCCTCCTGTCACATTGGTGGTGTTGGTGATGTAGCCTCTTGTCATCT